ATTACACTATTGTACAGTTAGGAACGGCAATGTAGAATGTGGTAATTCCTTATAGTGAAAATGGTAAAAGCTACACGAGTACGTTGCTTCTCATGAAAAGAGAACAACACGCAATTTCAAATTTCATATGAATATGTATGCACGGATAAAACCTTATAGCTACTGCTTTCTTTAGGGCGCTTCTACTAGCTATCAGAGTAGCAGTGCTGATTCGATGATGAATCAACTCAATACACCACACAGTTATCCAAAAAAAAACCCTCGATACATCACACAAAACGGCTTACATGCATGCATGCGGACAGATAAAATATAACTTCGTTTGAATTAACAACCAGTCACCAGCTGGTGTAGTAGTACGTGGGAACATTCATGCTCCTGATCAATATATAATGCCCATGTATATGGGAGTAACCTTAATTTGCATAATGACCATCATGCAAGTGTAAAGATGAGTTACTGACACTTGCTTATAGGCCTACTACTTTTTATGTACACAGAAACCTTATATGACTACGGTACGTGTATATATATTTAAGGCAAAGAAAGGCGAAGATAAAAGAAACTCCGATCCAGCAGATGTCCTATTTCATCTCGAAAAGGATGAAACAACTGTACGTGTAAGCCTTATTTATCCTCTGATAATCATTGTATCCAAGTGCTGGGGAAAACAAGAAACTAGTATATTATAGTAAACAAGGGGAAACAAACTATATATCACCTTCACTTCATATAGTTTTGAATTATACATAGTTTGAACGTGTCACATCTCTTATATAGATGCATAAAGCAATATAAATACCTTCATGGATCAGAACAAATTAAAGCCAATGAATTAACAAATACTATTCAAGCACTCATGCATGCACCGTATGTTTCATGAAGTATCATGTACCATATGTTGAGGAATGAGCTAGGTAGGCCTATCTTTAATTTGTATGAAATTTAATACATTCAGAATTATTTCATGTATACATCCTAGTTTAATACAAATTACTTAAAGTTGAGGAAACAAAGAATAAAACATAATACAATGGTTCCTTGGTGTATTAAATTGGATGCTCCACTTCCATTGTCCAAAAAACGGGTCATTAGTATGAAATTCATCCTCTCACATTTTCAGCTAGTTTTAAAATAAAACCTTGAGAGGCCAAATGAAAACCGGCAAACAGTTCGTTATTGAAATTGATAAATATTTTACATGTATACATCATTGAGTAGCTAACAAAATTGCCTATATATTGAAATGAAATGGTAGACTCACACACCCAGGAATCAGAGATGCTACACAAACTAGGAAATGGACAGTGTGAATGAAAATATGCAAATGTAGTCACTGAAAGTTTGATATAGTAAACGTGTTTCTAAAAGGAAGATGATATGCAAAAATATTATGGCTGACCACTATCCTTATGTTAGTTATCTGCACCAAGTGTATTTAACAAAAATGAAGATAATATGTTATAATTAGAGAAAAGGATTATTTACATGATTTTGTCACCAAGCACTAGTAAGAATACAAAATCCAACATAAAGTGGAAATACATACATCCTTAGGAAACTTCAGCAATCTTCCAGTGTACTTGATTTTGAATTAAATGTGCACACCTAATCTAATCAAGCACACGCATTCTCCATCTTGAAAGGGATACCATATCTTTGAATCCATGATAAATCATTTAGTTGTGCAGCTACATGGTATGGTCTATAAAGCTCCTGATCAGTTCAAGCTATATATTGAAGTACATACTATTATGGTCATGCATGTAACAATATGATTTCTTTACAAATAGGATGTTGACACAGACTTAAGCCCAATTTGTTTTAGCTTGCACAGGTTATATATGCAGCTTGCAACTTTGTTAAAATCTATAAATTGAATTTAAGAAATCCCAGATTGTAAGCAATGCAAATTGTAACAATCCACGGGTTAGATTGTTACAATCCAAACAATTGCTTCCCCAACATGTAAATGGTAACAATATGCAAACAGAAACAAATAGGACTTTAATGTGTAATATTAAATAAAAACAAGCACTGCTAGTAATAATGATAATATACTTACCAGCTTTAGACCACTTGTATGTTATTAGTCCATTAGAGCTAGCTATGCAGTTTTCTTCAGAAATGTAATGCATGGAAAATGGTTTCCATAGTGATGGAGATGTCAATGAATTTGTCAAAAGAAATAGAGATATCAATATTCCTCAGCATTTCAAGCTATATATATACATGTCATCCATCTCATCTAGCATAATATAACAGGAATGTGGTTATGTTCTTTATATGCAGCGGCGGAACCAGGAAAAATTTTAGGGGGGCTGAACAAAAGTGCGATAGCAACATATCTCCGACTGCTGCTCGATCTTAAGTCTCAGCCCCACCTACACGATAGAACTTTGCCTAAAAATTCATAAGGCTCCAGGGCTCCGGTATCGGTAGGGGGGCTCGAGCCCCCCCCCCCGCGCGCTGAATCCGCCCCTGTTTATATGAGCGCCAAAATTCAATCTTTTCTCTACGAATATGAAGGGGGGGGGAGCATTATGCAATAATTAGCCTGACCATTTAGTCATCACATGATTTGAGATAATGGTCATGGACTATATTAGGATCAACATAGCACAATGACAGTTAATGACCAAGGTATAGCATGCGGCAATGTGTGTTCTACAGAAATGGCAATGAGGTGCAACTTATGCTTGGACAATTAACGAACTTGGCTATTCTTCTCAGTGTATGTTTCTTGCTAACCACCAGAAGTATGTTGAAGGTTAATTAGCCTTAACATATTTCTCCTCCAAGTTACACATGAGTTTCAATTTTTTGTATCCAACAAATGCAGCTTATATGGAGGACTTTCTATATTCTTTGTGAGATCGAGGTCACAACGCTGTTCTTGAGATAATACCCCGACTGAGGGCAGTAAGTTCAGAAAAGAAAGACGAACTAAACCACCATATGCAAAGTGTAGAAAGAACGTATAACAAGCAGACACATGCATGCAGACACTGCTCCTGGCTCTTCTCCTTCTTTTTTACCTCCCCATAACTCCCCATTGCCTTTTCCAGCTTACAACGGACCAAAGGTACTCTTGTCAGTAGACACAGCATCTATACATGTCTATTCTAGCCTCACCAGTGCAAAAAGATCCCCCTCCTACACCGTACTAGTTAAGGATACCTATTGCTGAGCCGGTACGTGGCCTTTGCCTCCATTGCTGCCAGCAAGCACACTCGCCGCTACTCACTGCTCTGGCTGAGAGTGGCTTGCTGAAACTTGGTTGAGAAACTTGGCTGAGAGTGGCTGAAAAATATTGTTCTGGCTAAAATGTTGTGAGAGAAAAACACTGTTTCGGCTGAAAAAATAAACCGAATAAGCTGAATATAAGGTAAGCCGAACGGAGTTCTCGCACACAAAGGACAAGAACACAGAACGCAACCAAGGCAACTGGCTCCATCTCCATGGCTCCATGAGAGAGAGGTGAACATCGACGCAGCACTGTTACTACTATTACAGCAACAGTTGTGTTAGTACTGAGGCTGGCCCTGCTCTTCCCCAATAAATCGTCCATCAGACGTACAAAGAAGTTAAGGCCAGTGGCAATACCTTCCCCTCTGGCTCACCCTTTCCTTTACAGACTGCCAGGGCCATAAAGAACTCTCGGAGTCTATACCACTCAAGGCCCAGACAAACCAAACTACACATGATTTAGTGGGTGTTTGTATCATGTGACTAAAATTTAGGAGGTGTCATGTGAGGATGTCGCATGAGATGTTTGGATACTAATAAAAAATAAATTACAGAATCTGTCGGTACTCCACGAGATGAATTTATTAAGCCTAATTAATTTGTCATTAGCACGCGTTTACTGTAGCACTATATTGTCAAATCATGGACTAATTAGGCTTAATAGATTCATCTCGTAAATTAGTCGCAACCTGTGCAATTAGTTTCGTAATTAGTTTATATTTAATACTTCATGCATATGTCCAAACATCCGATGGGATAGCGACTCAAGTTTAGGAGGAGAATCCAAACACCCTTGTCCCACGGCGGGGTTAATTTTCAGTTGACCTTACGTAAAACCACAAGAGAAGTCTTCCATTTTGCTTGTGCTGATGCCTAATAACTGCCTACCATACGATCTACTACATTATGACATGATGCACCATGGGATGCATATGTAGGATGGACAAAGAGTGAGCAACAGTACAGAAAGTGGCAACCAGCAAAAGCACGAAAATGAAAACAAGAGTGCCAGCAGCACCAGCACTCATAATATAAACAAGAGATGGTGAGCAGTACCGATGAAAGAAGATGAGAGATGATTCAGAATTTAAACAACTGACCTGGAAATGCTTCTAGCTAGCTCCAAAGGGCTTTGCCTGCTGTAAGTTGACTGCTGCTAATGGACTGTCAATGTTGTTGTCTTGCCATCATGCTTTCTGAGAAGACTGTGCGGTTGCAACTCCAATCTAGGACGAGAACAGATCATCCATATGATGCAAGAAAGGCACAATATATATTGCACCCCATTCATGGGGCTAGGGATTCAGATCTTGGCAGTGATGCTGTGGAGTGTGCGAATTTGAAGGTGTGTTATCATATGTAGGGACATACGACAATCGAAATTGTCCAAACAAACTACATAAAGAGTGAATGATACATTCTTAAGGAGTCCAATCGCACGAGAAAAAAGGATAAAGCAATAGTAGCGAAGCAAAAACTGAGTCAGATATGAAAGCAATAATTGATTAATTCGCCTAACTTCTCTATATATATATATTGCCAAGCCAACACAAGAATTTGAATGGCCGAAACAAAAATTGGAGAACAAGCTAGTGTTACGAAGGCTACTCTAGATCCTATCATCAAAAGTTATAATGGAATCTCAAAAGGTGAAGAAGATGGTGAAGAAGGTAGCAGACGGAAGGAAGAATTTTTCAACTTTCCTTTTTTACTCTCCCGATCGATCGAGGTCACGAGCTGATCGATCTCGCTCACAGATCGAGATCCAATGACGAATGCGCTTCTCTCTTAGAGGACGATGATGACGACGGCGACGAGGCTGCAGATGACTCGGCGGCGCCGCGTTGAGGAGAGTCGAAGAACCTCAATGGCCCCGGCCTTTGCCATCCCGGCATCCTCAGCGACAATGCGTTGGCGTCTTGGCTTGACTCGGCACTGCTGCCTGGTTGCGGGTTGTCGAGGTTGACCCCAAACAGGCGGACTCGCTTCGCAGCTGCCGTTGGGCTGTTGACGAGCGGCACCGAGTCGAGAACCATGGGCAGGCCGTGCGTGACCGCGGGGCTGCTCGGTTGCACCATCATAATGCTGCGCAGAGGCGGGGGCGGTGGCGGAGGCGGCGGCGGCTGCGGCTGCGGCTGCAGCTGCTGCGGCATGGACGCGCGCGGGGGCATGCCTTGTGAGCCGAAGAAGAGGAGCTGCCTGGCCGGCGCGGCGGCGGCCTTGATGTTGCGGAAGTCGATTGCCTGGCGGAAGCGGTGGTGCTCGTAGAGTGTGGCGGGCGGCGGGGGCGGCATGAAGAAACCGCCCGCGCCGCCGCCCCAGGGCCCAAGGCCATAGGGCGACGCGACCGGCGCCATCGGGAGCGGGAGTCGCGGCATCCGGTGCGGGTCGCGGGAGTCGGAGCGGCGCTTCCAGTCGATGAAGAGGCGGTCCCTCGCGGCCTCGCCGGCGCCGCGGCAGAAGGAGACGGTGTCCCCGGCGTCGAGGCGCTTCTCCTTGACGAAGCGGCTCCAGCCCTTGGTCATGACGTAGCTCTGGCTGCTGTTCCAGTAGGAGTAGCGGAAGCGCCAGAGCTTGCCGGCGCGGTCCTCGAAGCTGAGCAGGAGGCCCTTCTCGTTGGCCGCCGCGTCCAGCGGGAAGTACTTCTCCGCGTGCTGCTTCGGGATCACCAGCCGGTTGAGCTTCCCCACGTCGCTGGGCGTCACCACCTTGTCGAACATGTGCTCCTTCTCGATCACCTCCACGTCGTCGCTCCCGCCGCCGCCAACGCCGCTCCCGGACGCCCCGGCGCCGTCGCTGGAGCGGAGGGCGGCAGCCGAGCCCGACGCTGACCCCGAGGCCGCCGCCGCGGAAGCCGAGGACGAGGAGGCGGCGGCTCCGGTGTCGGCCGTCGTCGCAGCCGCCGCTGTCATGAAGGGGATCTCACGTGGGGACGCCTCCTCGTCCTCCTCCTCCTCTTCCTCCTCGTCCTCCTCTTTGGAAAACCTACTCGAAGAGCTCGCGAACTCCATAGCTAGCTACTACGGCCTGGCCTCCTCCTCCTCTTCGTCTTGGACGCCGCCGCCTCCTCTTCGCCTTACGAGCGCGCGCCTGCCTGTCCCTGTTGCGGGCAGCGGCTGTGATGCGACGCGGACGCGGTCCCCTGCGCGGCGGAGACTGGCTGGCTGGCTGGCTGCTTGGTTTCTTGCTGGGGGAGAGTGAAGAGGAGGCGGGGGATCTATCCGCGATGAGCCCAGCCTATCTATATCTACCACTCCTATCTGTCTGCCCTGCCCGCCCCTCTCTCTCTCTCTCTTTCTTTCTAGGTTCTCTCTCCTCTCGCTGCGTGAGTGAATTTGACCCGGCTAGCTAGTTGAACGGCACGGCCGATCGGGAGGGGAGGGGAAGCGATTCATCTGCCTTTGCCGTTCGCATTGGCCGCCCGCGCGCCCTCGCGCTCGGATCGATCTCCTCCGCGCGCGCGTCGGAAGAAGAGGGGCAGGACGCAGAGTGAGAGAGAGGGAGGCCGGGATCGATGTGAGTGACGGAGAGAGAAAGTGCGTGGTAATTAAGTGCGGTTGTTTCTTCTCTCTCTAGCTAGCCATTAGTGGTGCTTGTTGCCAGGGGAAAGCGAGGGAGCGAGCTGTGGGAAAGCTGCTAGCCGCTGCCGCGCTTGCTGCGCTCCCCCACAAGGCGAGGGGGGGAGTTCCATTCCAGCCCAGCGCCCCAGGCCCCCAGCCCAGAGGGGCGGGGAAGCCTGGTAGGAGTGGTAGGGGTAGGCGGAGGCGAGCTGGCCAGGGGAGACCCGGCCTGAGAGGGCACTGACTGCCCTAGAAGATTCCTCGAAGGTGACCCGGCACAACCTACCGCCCGTATTCGACTAGTAGACTAGTAGGAATGGTGCATTGCATTATGCATTTATATTCTCAGAGTATATTGTACTGTTGAGTTGCAGACTTTGGAGTACCGTATCGCATACACAGGAAGCCGTACGTTGAACGAAACAATTCTTGTAGAAAGCCTGTTCGTTTCGGTTGGATTGGTTTATAAGCCATGACTGAAAGTACTGCTGGCTGTTTTGGTGTGAGAAAAAAATATTGTTCGTTGGCTGATAAGCCAAGGCTTATAAGCCGAATACGAGCCGCCGAACAGGTTGAAAGCCAACGCACAAATCCATCCTTCGAAACAATAAGGGCCTCTTTGGCACGACTTATGCCGGATTCGGCTTCATCTATTTTACGTAAATCGAGGCACTATAGCGTGAAGCCATTTTGTAAGCCAGGCTTAAAATGAACTAGAAGCCAGAAAAAAGCTAGTTTTTCTGGCTTCACCGACTTTGACTTCACTGGTAAAGCTATTTTGGATGAGCCGTGCCAAATGAGGCTTAAGTCTTCCTGGATTGCTAGGGAAGAAATGATGTGCATATACTAACATATCCATATATGGCCAAAAGCCAATGCGCTGATGTCCTTTTGAATTTCGGGGGAAAGAAAATTCGCATCCGCTGACCACGGTAAAAGAAACAAGGTGAGGCCTGGTTTACATTGCAAATTTTGTAACACTGGACACTGTAGTACGTTTTGTTTGTATTTGACAAACTTTGTCCGATCATAGACTAACTAGGCTCAAAAGATCCATCTTGTGATTTACAACCAAACTGTGTAATTAGTTTTTTTTTACCTACATTTAATGCTCCATGCATGCGTCCAAAAATTGATGTGATAAAGAGAGTGAAAAAACTTAAAATTTTGAGGTGATCTAAACAAGACCTGAATGTGAATTGCTCTGCTGGTAGTTGATGAGCAGGTAATTAGGCAGGGGGAAAGTAGGGCTGTGGTACTGCAGCCGCGGTGTAGTGTAGCTTTGCAGAGAGGAGAGGAGGATGGCGGGAGTAGGGTGGGGGCCCCCTATGAATCAACTGGTTGGGCTCATGTGAGCCCGTCCTTGTCATGATATGGGGATCAAGTATGACACGCATGCCAACCGCGAGAGACAGGCTGCTGCCTCTGTAGATCGACTCAGCTCACAGCTCGTAGCGATGCTTAGGGCGCGTTTAGATGATTTTTTTGATTTTGGCTACTGTAGCACTTTCGTTTGTATTTGGTAATTAGTGTCTAATTATGGATTAATTAGGTTCGAAAGTTTAGTCTCGCGATTTTTCACCTAACTGTACAATTAGTTTTTTTTTCGTCTACATTTAGTACTCCATACATATACCGTAAGATTTGATGTGATGGGTACTGCTATAAATTTTTTTGGTAACTAAACATGCCCTTAGAACCAAGAGATCAGCCAAGCAAGTCCATTTCTTCCCACCACACATCGCTCTCATGGGTGTTGCATCAGTGCAGACGACGATAATCACATGTGCTGCGTCCAGGACATGTTGCGGAGCAAATTCTGCCCCCACTCCCGTACTTGTAGGGTTCATGCTATGCTAGCTAGTGGCAGCTAGCTGCGATACTCTGACCATTAGTAATCGGTGTGTTCGTTTGTTTCGTAAATGATCGTAAATTTTTAGTTAGAAATAGTGTTTTTCTCTCACACCAAATTAGACAGTAGTAAATAATACACAATACGATACGGCCTCCCGAACATGCTAAATATCTTCTTTTCGCTGATATTGACCATTAGTAAGGGTGCGTTTAGTTTCCAAAATTTTTTTTGGGTTTGACTACTGTTTGGCTACTATAGCACTTTCGTTTGTATTTTTGTAATTAGTGTCTAATTATAAATTAATTAGGTTCAAAAGTTTCGTCTCACGATTTCTCACCCAACTATATAATTAGTTTTTTTCATCTACATTTAGTACTCCATACGTATCGTAAGATTTGATGTGACAACTTTAGGGTGAAAATTTTTGGAAACTAAACATGCCCTAATATCTTCTTTTCGCTGCGTCCAGGACATGTTGCGCAGCAAATTCTGCCCCAACTCCCGTACTTGTAGGGTTCATGCTATGCTAGCTAGTGGCAGCTAGCTGCGATACTCTGATCATTAGTAATATCTTCTTTTCGCTGATATTTTCCACTAGTAAATTTTCAAGTGCTCAAAGATGACCTACAAAAATGTTTCTTATAAAAGTGAAAATAAAAAAAATTGTGCTTTAATTGGTCAAGCATGCAGGGATATAGTTACCAAATGAAGTGTGACTTTCACATATAATTACCGTCAAGGTTATGAATATCTAGCTATAATTAAGTTTGTTATTGATAGCTATAGTTGTGCAAGGCATGCCACTATATATATATAATTTATTTTTGAATTGCACGGTACAACATAGACACTCATAACGAACACTCACCCCTATGAACACACGCACACAACCCCTACCCTTATGAGCATATTCGAAGACTAGGCCGGTAAATCCTCAAGATTGACGAAGTCACCACAAGCACCTGGCTGTCGACGCACTAAAAGCACAACGCCGAAAAAACCCACTAGGCTACATACTCTTTCGCCACTATATATATGACTGGCGCTACTTATTCCGTTGTCTGGCCTTTATGCTGATGCAAATGCTATATAAAACCTTGGTTATTATTTACTAGCATTTTTAAAAACATATCAACATTGTTTGTTTTTTGCTCTCACCTTGCAAGATAATTTAATTAACACGAATCATGTTTTGTTTTCACCTTGCTTCAACTTTCTTAGATAGTAGCGGTCATCAAGACTTTTCCTAGTTTATGAAACGTGTGATTATTAGACATGTTCTATCAGTATTATCAAAGATTTTCCCTTTATAATGAAATATATGATGCGCGTTTTAAGAGAAAAAAAAGAAATAATCATGGATGATCTCCATATCCATCAATAACGCCATGATAGACGAGGCATGGAAACCACATACATCATGAAACCAGCCAGCATTATTGATGAAAGGGTCATTTGGGGGTAACGGGTAACAGATCAGACATGGCAGATAGTGGCGAAAAGGCACCTAATATGCAATATGCTCACACCATAATGTTTTACAAGTGCTTTTCTCCATAAAAGAGATTTAGAGTGTAAAATTCGTATAGGGAATATTATAATGTTTATTGAGTGGAGGTAATGATTGATACGTGTATGGTGCATGGACCCAGTTTACAAGATGGGTGAGGTGTCCTGTCCTGAGGCTTCCCCGAGACAAAAAGGCCAGTAGGGTTCTAGAGACCTTCAACCAAAGTATCCGTCCATCCATCGAGCGGAGATGCCCTGACTCGAGTGACAGGGGAGAAAGTAAAAGTATCTGCACTTTATTTTTATCTGTAAACACGCGCGCGCACTGCAGGAAGGAAGGAAGCTCGCTCGCTCGCTCTTGGAAATGTGGCGTGCACATACTGCTAGAGTACCATACTACGTCAAGCGTCCTCTCATGATGTGGCGCCCCCATTTTTTTAATCCATCCCCCGGGGTGAGGGGAGGGGCAGTACCGGTTGTTGTTGTTGGAGCAGCAGTGCGGTGTCGTCTGTGCGCAGTGCAGGGGAAAGGAAAGCAGCCAGGCGGCGACGGCGAGTCGCTTCCGTCAATTAGCACAGTGCCTGCACGTCGCATTACCTGTTCCCCCTGTCGTCCCTATCTCTCGCTCGTGCCCATTGGTGGATCCTCCTCCTCCTTTCAAATCTCAACATTTAAGTGCTCATGCTTTCCACTAATCTCAGGGTATTTGTTTCTCATCTTAAACTTTAGTCATTGTCCTATTTGATATTTAGACACATATATGGAGTATTAAACATAGACTAATTACGAAACTAATTGCACAGCTTGCGACTAATTTGCGAGACGAATCTTTTAAGCCTAATTAGTCCATGATTTGACAATTTACTGCTACAGTAAATATGTGCTAACGATGGTTTAATTAGCCTTAATAAATTCATCTAGTAGAGTACTGACGGATTCTGTAATTTATTTTTTTATTAGTATCCAAATATTCCATACAACACCCTCATATGACACCTTCTAAATTTTAGTCACCGATCTGAACACCCACTAACAGCAACTGGATCATCGCGCGCAGTTTGTAACTGCTGGTGCCGCTCCATAGTGG